GATTGTGAGACAGTGCTACTGTGCTTTGATTATCACAGAGCACTATAGGAGTGTTGAGACGAACTTTCAGTTCTTGTAGAAGGGACTGGATCCACAAGACTTCAATAACGGCTTGAGCTAAAGCACGATATTCGGCCTCAGTACTTGACCTCGCAACAAGCAATTGTTTCTTGGACCACCAAGACACAAGATTAGGACCAAGGTAAATACAGGTTGCCGAGGTAGATCTTCTATCATTGGGATCTGCTACCCAATCAGCATCAGTAAAGGCAGTAAGATTGGAAGAGGAAGATGACCGAGCAGGCGTAAACACTAGACCATGTTTAAGAGTTCCTTTGAGATACCTAAGTATCCTTTTAACCACCTTCCAATGTTCCTCCATTGGAGAGCACATAAACTGACTCACCTTATTGACACTAAAGGCAATTTCAGGTCGGGTAATTATGGCATATTGCAATGCACCAACTACAGACCTATACAAGGTAGGATCATCAAACAAGGTTCCTGTTTTAGCAAGTTGCTGACCCCCAATCATAGGAGTGAGATTCCCTTAGAGTCTTCCATTTTAACCCTGGTAAGAAGATCAGAAATGTATTTGTGTTGAGATAACAGTAACCGACCATCAGAAAGTGACTTGACTTCAATACCCAAGAAGTAGTCCAGAATGCCAAGATCTTTAAGAGAAATTTTTTTATTGAGGTGATCAATAAATTTTTGCAATAAGGAGGAGGAATTGCTAGTGAGGATAATGTCATCCACATAAATGAGCATGTAGACAGTGGCAGATGGAGTAGAAAAAATAAACAAGCTAGGATCACACTTGCTTTTGTGGAACCCAAGCTTCAGCAAAACAGAAGTTAATCTGTCAAACCAGGCACGAGGGGCCTGTTTGAGACCGTAAAGAGACTTTTGAAGTTTACAGACAAGATGTTTGTTGTTAGGTTCAATAAAGCCAGGAGGCTGAGACATGTAAATGTCTTCCTCAAGCATTCCATTAAGGAATGCATTATTAATGTCAAGTTGGCGAAATGGCCATTGAAAAGTCACAGCAAGGGAGAGCACAATCCGGATGGTGACAGGCTTAACAACAGGAGAAAAGGTTTCAGAGAAATCAACACCAGGTTGCTGATGAAAGCCCTTGGCAACAAGTCGGGCCTTGTACTAGAAATTTGGGAGAGAAAGGAGCTCACTGACTCAGAGACCTCTCTAAAACTTCTCTCTAGAACTTCTAATTCTCCTCCCGGCCCCCTCACCCCTATTTATAGGCAATCCGGAGTGGCCAGAACGGCCTATACCGATACTGGAACGGCCCGTTCTGAACTCCCAGATCACGCACAAAATCCACGCCCAGAACGGCCCGTTCTGAAATCAGAACGGCCCGTTCCGGGACTCATCTGGAACGGCCCGTTCTCCCTCTAGAATGGCCCATTCTCCTTCCCAGAACGGCCCGTTCTCAACTACAATATGTAGTTCAATTCAGTAGTTTGGAACGGCCCGTTCCAGTTTGGGAACGGCCCGTTCTGGGCTACTGAATCAGCCTTTTTTTTTTCAATGTTACAGAAAGTAACATTGTTACTGTGCATTTTTTTGAAAAAAAAGTTTTTCTTGTATAAAGCACTTTGATGTTAAGTACTTGTTTGACAGAGAGAGAATTCTAAATTTACAAACTCGAATAGAGCATCTTTTGATGGACAAGATGAAAATAGATCCACTAAACAAAAGCTTTAATTGTTGAAACTTTTAAGAAACATGTAGCTCATATGGGTTTAGTTAAGATTTTTAATGTATTGGGTTAGTGGAAGTCTGAATTTATGTATTTCCATTACTAAGATTTTTTTTGTCATTTTTGTAAGCTATCTCTTACAATATTTTTAGATATTTGAACTATTGTTGAAGTGCATAATTTTTCTTAAACTATGTTATTCCATATTATAAGAATTGTGAGTATTTAACATGTATGATATATATATCTTTATCATATATTATTTTTTGTTATGTTGAAGTTCATGTTTCTTATATGTTGTTAATTGACATGTGTTTTCATATTAATTGACATTTTATCCTAATGATGATTATAATACTTTAATAATGATTAATACCATGCAACTGAGAAAATGTTAAATTATTTTAATTATAATTAGATTAATTTTATACAGTAATTAAAATATTATTCAATTATAATTAATTGACAATTATGCGCCAATTATAATTGTTATAGAATTTTAGTAAATAGAATTTATGATGAAAATGACTCAATGATGAGTTGGGTCAATTATTGCTAAGAGGTCTCTACATGCTACTAGGGAGCTATATATTAGTTATCCCATTAAACAAATATACACATTGACTCAATTTCTTAGAAAGCAAGTAGAGAGCTCTAAATTCAAGATTATCTTCTACTTTTTTTCTCTCCAAGGTAACTCTAATAAAATCAGGTCAATAATATCATAATATGACATCTTCAATTATATATTGTCATATAAACATGTTGTAATTTGTATCTATAGCTATTATGCATGATATGTTTTATTATTTTCTTGACTAGTGATATAACTAAATTAGTATGTATAAGTAGAGAACAATCCTCACTTTATAAGTCAGTTTTGTGAGGTTACTTAGGTCCCAAGTTTACCAAAACCAAGAACATATGTCGATTAAATCCATGAACCTGTGTAGGTCAAAATATGTTTCCTACCCAAATATCACCTCATTTCTTTATGGACTAGAGAATATCAAATGAGTTTATCTCTGGTGAAAAATGCCATTACAATCGACTTTTACATCTGTGATTTAGAATTAAGAAACCTTACATTGTATTCCCTACATATATACAATGTCGACAAATCAGTCCCTACAATTTACCGAAATTAGTGTTAGAGGTTTTTCTCAAGTTCAAACCAACACAGAAGCTATAAACCAAAATGTAGGGATCAAAATGAAGTGTAAATTATTTTTCATAGACTTAATTGCACTTTTGGTCCTCCTAATTTAGTGCAGGAGTAGTTTTGGTCCTCATATTTTAAATTACTTAATTTTGGTCCATAAATTTAAATAATGGACAATTTTAGTCCCACAAACAATTTACCATCTAAAATTTAACAGACGTTAATAATGTGAATTTTATGCTAAATAAATATTAATTATATATCATTTAATTTCTTACGTGTCAAATTATTTAATATTCAAATTTTAAAAATTCGATTCTCCGGGAACCAAATTTTGAACGTGAACAGTGAAAGGTGCTACCTGGGTAAATAAATTGGTACAGGTACTTTTTTGGTAAATTTTTTTGAAAAAAATTCTATTTTAGTGAAAAATTCTTACTGCGATCGATATCAATACCCTTTTCATTTTGTTTTCAATGTTATTTGAATTTAAAATTTGAATATTAAATAATTTGACACTTAAGAAATTAAATGATATATAATTAATATTTATTTAGCATAAAATTCACATCATTAACGTCTGTTAAATTTTGGATGGTAAATTGTTTGTAGGACTAAAATTGCCCATTATTTGAATTTATGGACCAAAATTAAACAATTCAAATTATGAGGACCAAAATTGCTCCTACACTAAATTAGGAGGACAAAAAGTGTAATTAAGCCTTTTTCATACAACAATTACAAAGCCTTATCCTGTGAAGGTAAGATATGCTACCTGGATACACCATACCATCGGCATGGTTTAAATTTTTTTCATATAAAAACTAAATAAAATGTTATCAAGTATAAGAATCAAATTTAACACAGCTGTAATGTTGACAAATGGCAAAGACCAATTCGTAAACATTTTTTTCGTATGTCAACCAAATGTAGTTTTTTTTTTAATTTTAATTTAACCAAAAATTTTCATCTAACTGCATGGAAAAGCTTCAAGGATATGCTCTCACACCAGAAACATACGTTTCCTCAATAGATGCAGATGCTTCTTCAGCAAAGTCTTTCCATGAATCAGTGGACAATATGATAAAATCTGCCAGTTTCCCAGGAGATAAGGAACCCAGATCTCTGTCAAGAAAGCTTGCGCGAGCCGCAGAAATGGTGTAACTGTCAAAAGGTCACACAGTTTTAGAATCATGAAATAACAGTAAAAGAAAATCATGTATATGAACTGGAAATTGGAATATGATCATATAAGGAAAGAGCACCACTCACGCAGTTGAAAGATTACATACAGCAATACACATACTAAATATCATATGAAGAAATAATGCATGTACCATGTAATCACTATCAGAAGAAAACAAAAAGAATTGTGGCTGGAAATTTCTGTAAAGTACAAAGCACGGAAGATAACTGGTCTTTCCACTATTTAAAAGTCATACATTGAATGGTCCTGCCTACCAAATTCAGATAGCCATGAGTGCTAAGGAACTTGTCTTCTGAGATGCCAATTATTAGAATTAAGTATGTAATCCAACAGATCATATCTATCGGATGTTACTGTTATATTCCTCAAGAACTTGGGCTCATGTCTGTTTCAATTCCACTTTTTCTTTAGTACAGATGTGCAAGCCATCAGTATCAGTACTACATCATTATATAAAGTCCTAGAAAGGTTATCTTTATACCATATGAATATTTTAGCCCACTCACTAGTCTACCTAAAGTGGCTCTCATAACACAAGCAGAAAAGATATCATATCAACAAGCCACATAACATCAGAATAACATGAACGCTTTAATGCTGCTTACGCCTTTATTGCATCATCTAATGAAATGCATTCTGATGGAATCCATGCACTTTTCCATGTGGGAGGCCTCCTTGTGATTGCTGTCTTAATACCACTCAAGGGATTGATGTCTACCACCTGTAAAAGAGAGACATGATATTGTGCAAAATACCTCTTAAGTAGTGACATGGAATGTGAAAATGTGCAAGGTGATGAGTACTAACAAATGCCACATACTTACTGGCCAGTCAGAACCAAATGCCAGTAATGCATCATTATTTAAGAGTGTCCGAAATAAATAAGATTCATTTTCAGCCCTATCCTCGCCAAGCTTTTTGCCGGTAGAGTCAGCATCATCCAACAATTGATCTGGCTGTTGATGATTGGTAGAAAGAAATTATTGCAAATCTTGCATGGGGCATTGTTTATACTGTCTAAATATATAATACGGTGCACATAGTCCATTCTAAAGGGTTCGTTATTGAGTCATTTTTGAGTTAAGAACAATAATAAGCCAAATTAAAGCACGGAGAGAGCCACTGGCATGTTTAGGGAACCAAGTAGTGAAGAGGAGATTTTAAAACAGTGCAAAATTCAAGGATTTTCAAATATACATTTCTGCCACTGAGATTTGGAAAAAGCACTTTCTTGATGCAACTGAATATACATGACTATTGGTTCCTAGAATAAGCAATTATTATTCCCCAAAGCTGTAAGAAATGAGCCTTTAAGTGCCAAATACACCAGTAGATTTACAAAGTATATGTTCTCGAGATTTTCAAGATACCTAATATGATATTGTCCGTTGTGTGTTCATATAAACAATACCGATTTTCAGCATGGAACTTGGAAGGTAGAACTCTATTTTTACGATTTCATCTGCCTTTAACTAAATATTGTGGGGATTAGCAAGCCATTTTTTAGAAAAAAGAAGCGCCAAGATTAGATAATTCATATATTTCAAATGAAAGAATCATAGTAAAAAGAAATCTTAGTTACTGGATCGAGCCAACGTGAGACAAAACAACCCTCTCATTTTAGTGGCACACTACAGCCATACTAGGGATTGTTCTGGCACCAATTAATATATTGTCAGGATCCATGGTTCAGGTGGTCCAGTCCAACTCAATCATGGGCCTTGGTTTGGAAGACATTAGCATGAGAAAAAAGAAGTGGTAAAATGGGAAATAGAGTGGGGAATCAGTTATGGGAAAGCATTTAACTTGTAATACTTATATAGTGGGAGAGGTGAGAGGAAAATTTAGATTTTGCTTGTAAGTTGTGGACAGGTGGGATCCTTTGTAGGAGTATTGCTCTTGGAATTGTAAAAAATCTATTCAACAATATATTCTTGTCCATTAATGTTGAGAGTAGTTAGATTGTTAGAAAAATCAATTAATTGTTATTAGTTTGTCAGAGATGATTGTTAACCCTATATATAGAGCTCTATACAATTTGATTGTATCTTTAATTAATCAATTACATAATGAATTACTTTTATGGTTCTCCTCTTCTCTACATTGAGCTCTATGATATTTGGCCTCATCAAGTTGGGGAAACTTGTATCACACCTCATATTTCTGAATTCTGATAATTAATAATACATTCACATTTTTTCATTCTTGGTCTCTCACATATATAATATTAATCGTAACAAAAAGGCACAAGATAATGATCAAAAGAAACCTGCATGGAAGCAACAACACGTTGTTTGCCAAACCGGCTGGAGGTTCCAGCTGCCAACTGCTGGGCATGCTCAATCTGAAAGCAAAATTACAGTTCCTTGACTTGTTTCACAATGATTTTATTAGAAAAAGAATTTCACTGAAGCAATATTTTCCCATCATTAACAGGAAAATATTGAAACTTTTTGTGTTATGAAAAGATGTTACCCTGAATCTTCGATCTCTCATTCCATTTGTAGAAGCTACTGAACCATACATGTCCAAGATAAGGTCATTTGCTTTGTCCCCTATCGCATGAATAGCAACCTGAAACGAATCAACAGTAAGGCATTCAGCTGGTAACTGAAATATTATATAAACAGAAGAGTTTGGTAATCAATAACAAAAGAATAAATAACCTGTAGACCATTTAAATCTGAATCCAAGGTCATGTTGTGAAGAGTTTCAAGTTCAGTCACTTGTATACCATAATTGCCAGACTCATCAATATATGGCTACAAAATTTGGAATACCATGGTTAATCCCATCGCAACTACATGATTAGATGTGCATAGTTAAACTACGAGCTAAGCTAAATTTTTGTCCCTAAAAATACAGGTCTTACCCGTCATGTTACCCCAAACCCATATGAACATTAAAAACAAAACATGATACAAATGGACTAATTAGTGGATTTAAAAAAAGTTATTAATGGAATTTATACGAAAACTTTGAATGTCTGGTCTCACCTCATAAAGCAATGCACTATTGGAACCCAAAGACCCGTCAGCAAAAGCTTTGACACCACCTATATAAATCTTTTCACTCAAGGCATGGCCAACTTTGTTAATCACATCCTAGGGAGGAAAATGTGAATTTTGGAGACAAATGTTAAAATTTATTGGACATAAAATAAATATATTCCTATATTTTTTTTAAGAATATGTAGTTTACAACAATTATTATTGCAATACCAAACACCCACAGAGAGAGAGAGAGAGAGAACTATTAAGATCCCCATGTCGTCTTGTTATATGTTGAAAGTACTCCTTACGATGACTTGGGAAATTCTCCGTCTTGACTTAGCTTTTGAAGTTAACATAGGCCTAATCCATTCTCAAACTCAAATTTAATAAGGTATCAAAACCTATCTCAAACTTCATGTTAGACACCCGCAAATGTCCAATCCTACAAACATCACACTCCAAGTATCTAGTACTAGGCATAAGGGGTTGTGTTAAGATTCCACATAAGCTTGGGATATATCAAAAGAACTTGCAATGACTTGGGCAATCACCTGTTCTTAGGTTAGCTTTTGAGTTTAATTTAGATTTAATTCTGCTCTCAATTCTAATAAGAATACTATTTGAATTAACATAAGGTAATAAAAGCTAAACTAATAAAAAACAAAACAAGCATTCTACCTATAACATATTGTTAAATATATATTTTCATTACTTGTAAATATGGAAACATGTAACATGTCCATCACCAGAATTTAGGAATTGATTTATTCTCTTTATCCTTAATTACTTCCTATCTTGATTATAAATAGAGATCAGGTGTGTGGGTAATACATACATTCAAATAAACACGTTCTATACATATAATAGTACAAGAAATTTTAGTTATCATTTTCTGGATTAAAAAATTTGGCTGAACAGCTACATCAGTCAAGGAGATAGCTGAGAACTAGCAGTAGTCTCTGAAGACCTATAAGAGGGAATGCAACAAAAATTCTAATCCACAAGCATTGGACCAAGACATGCTTGATAATGATGATGGATATCTTTTTGCGGTCATAACTCATAGGTATATCAAATAGCGATGGGTGCTTCCTTTTTTTAAACTTTGTTGGAATACTTTTTTTCATGATTTCGTGCATATATATTCAACTTTAGTTAATATTGACATCTAGGCGTTACCTATGGATTTAGTATCAAAAGGAAATTTTAATTCTTGCGGGATTAAGACTAGCATCTAATCATTTTCATAATTTCATTTGGAACTTCATAATTGGAATCGTGCTTTATTTTGGATATATATCAGTTAATATTCTTAGCAGATTGACATGTTCTTAATTGTTTGATTCAATAAAAACATGCTATGAAATCTAAGACTTTCTCACTCTGAACCCCACTAATTCAAATAACAGTTATCTTCTGCCATTCTATAATAAGGTCATAAAAGGGGGAGCAAGCAATCCTAAAATTACATAACAAAAAGTTACACCAGGGAAATTGTTTTAGTAAACCTCCTTAGTCTCAATGAATATATATCAGCAAATAGAGTTTCCTCAAACAAACTATCCCTCGAAAACCAAACATGTGCAACATGTACATGTTCCATGATAAAGAAATATGGGTGTTTTGCTTACGAAAATTCAAGAGTTCCTCTAAATCCAAATACTCTTAGAGTAACGAAATAGCCAAGCATCCACTAGACTCTATCCTAATGGTATTCTTTGGGAAGCACTTTTAAGCTAACTAATTAGTAGGAAGGTAGTTGTCTAATTGTGAGGGGCACACCTAAGCTTTCTCACTTAAAAAAATCTAGAGCATAAGCTACAAGATATTGAGCCATGAAATAAAATATGGCTATGAATCATATAATTTATCACACTATTTATACTTGTTTCCTTTTGTAACATTTCCCTGATAAGTGAACTGCAAAGAACACAGAAAGATAGAAAAGAATGAACACATAAAAATATGCTCTAAAGAGGCAGAATAAATATACTAAACATTCAATAAATCACAAGTTATAAAGGAATCTTACCACCAAACGTGCCCATGTCTCCATTGGAAAAAATAAACACACTCTAATTTTCATTTTTGACATAGAATTAGCCCATTGATAAACATCTGCGCAATTCAAAATAACAATATACGATAAATGAATGGACACCTAAGATCAAGAATAAGGCTTTCAGCACATCTCATAAAATCAGTGAAAAAATCAATCATAGTTCAAATTTAAAAAGGGATTACACCAGTTAGATCAAAATTAAATCGTCTATGTTTTCCTACTTCTTTTCGTAAATTAATTTAAATACAAAATCATATAACTCAGATCAACTCAATCTATTAGCCTATAACACAAATAAAATTTATGCAATGGAATACGGGAAATCTTCCAGTCTCATTGTTATAAATCCATTACTTCATGTTGCATTTGAATGGATTACGTGGGTTTCTTCAAGTATAGATCAAAATTCAGTACAGCAGAAACTGCTTGCTATATGAGTTCTTGGTTTTAAACAATCTTTCCTCTTATGACTAAGCTGGCATTCAGTTGATATACAAAATAAAAAGAAACTAAATGACATCGACAAAGAAATAAAAAATACAAAAAATTAAAAATAATAATCTAATGAGCTATAAATATAACTCAAACTTTTAGATCAAACCTGAAAAATCATCCCAGGAATATTCGGATGAAAACCCAGGATAATATCTTCCCATATCAACAACTGTTGTCACCCCCCTTGTTAGGGCAAGATTGTTTGCTCTAAGCAACGCTTCCCTCCTATCATCTACTGAATCCTCTGGGATATGGGAGGTAATCAGTGTCCTCGCAGAATCAATTAGTACTCCACTAGGTTCTACATGAAAAAAACAATTAGTTACACTGTATGTTTAGCTAATACAGAACCAAAATAAATCTTGAAATGGAATTAGCAGTAGTATTTTCAATTGATCAAGAAGGACTAATAATTAAGTTAGTTGAGCATGATGCGTGAGTTGTTTGTAAATCCCTTTGGTACCATGTTCGATTCCCATGGATCAAAAAACAAATTCCATTGTTGGAACAATTTCATATATTTACTGTATCATAGCAACACCAAAACATCTAATCCACAATGGAAAACACATGAAGCTGACTGACAAACATGTGAGTAATAATATGGTAGTGAACAGTGGTAAGGAAAATGCTACTAGAAATGTCAACAAAGGTTGACTTGGAATGGCAATAAAACATGCTAATATGCTTGTTAAGGACTCTCCTATAAGCTTAAGCTATTAGGTGGAGGCTCATGAATAGTTTTATTTTATTGAATAATGCCAAATATCTTTAAATCCCTTTTATCATCAGTTTCCTATTCTCTGTTTTAGAATGTATCATATCATATAGATTTGATACTGTATTATGTTATATTGATTTCTGGAATCAAATGATGCAATTGCATTTTTTTTTTTTAAATTTATACAATTAATACAGCTCAGACCAACACTCAAACATGCGCCCTAATGCAAGAGACCTTTGGGCTTGAAGCATGGACAATGCACAAGACCATTTTACCTAGCATTGCAATTCAACTTGATTTAGAATATTGCAGATGGCGAGAATTAAATTCATGACTCTTAGTCATAGAGGCTTTGATACCATGTCAAGGAGCAACTCTCATAAAAGCTCAAGTAGTTGGTTGGAGACTGATAAATGGTTTTAATTTATATCTAACAATGCTTAATTACCCTAAACTCTTAACACAAAACTCACAACATAGCATCCAGAAAATCATCATAAAAAAACAAAAACTAAAAAATTTGTAGCTCAAACTATTGACTTCTGAAATTCACAAGTTCACAATGAAAAATGGTTAATTACAGATTAGGATATGCAAAAAGGATAATCCCATGTTACTTATAAGATGGTCCATTACTCACAGTCTTATATTCTTTAGAAATTCACTTCATCACTCTATCTACAAAACAATGGAAACTGCCAGAATGACCAAAATTCCTTTTAATACAAAGATAATCAAGTATAACCTCCTTGGTCAGTCCTCATTATAGTTCCCCCTTGTGGATCATCTGTTAAATTTGTAATCCCAGCCAACATTAGTGCCACTGAGTTAGCCAAGCCCATGTGACCATCCACTCTTGACAGCCATACCTGCTTGTAAACTTTAAATAAGATTATATTGCTGGGAATGAAGACTTTCAAAAAGGAAGGAACATAAGTAAAGGGCTTACAGGATTATTAGGAGTAACATCATCGATCCAAGAAGCAGCTGGCAGATCTCCTCCCCATAGATCATTGTTCCATCCACCACCCAAAATCCAGGAATCTTGCTTTGTGCCTAAAATTAAGTGTACAAAATGAGTAAACATCAGATATAATATGATTCAGAACTTAGAGGAGTCCATTTTGAAAATTGTTCAATGTAATATTTCCCATTTGACGAACATATTTATGCAGATTTAATTGCAAGCCTCTAAGCATTCTATTCCAGCATATTATTTCTCAGATAAAGAATGGCAATCTTTTATAAAAGCCCAAAAGGCAGGTTCATTGTAAAGAAACAATAGGTAAAACTGGCCAACTTCAATAAAACTACCACCAGATGAAAATGAAAAAGTGAAAGATCACTTCAATTTCAAAAAAAACAAAAACTAAAAAATTTGTAGCTCAAACTATTGACTTCTGAAATTCACAAGTTCACAATGAAAAATGGTTAATTACAGATTAGGATATGCAAAAAGGATAATCCCATGTTACTTATAAGATGGTCCATTACTCACAGTCTTATATTCTTTAGAAATTCACTTCATCACTCTATCTACAAAACAATGGAAACTGCCAGAATGACCAAAATTCCTTTTAATACAAAGATAATCAAGTATAACCTCCTTGGTCAGTCCTCATTATAGTTCCCCCTTGTGGATCATCTGTTAAATTTGTAATCCCAGCCAACATTAGTGCCACTGAGTTAGCCAAGCCCATGTGACCATCCACTCTTGACAGCCATACCTGCTTGTAAACTTTAAATAAGATTATATTGCTGGGAATGAAGACTTTCAAAAAGGAAGGAACATAAGTAAAGGGCTTACAGGATTATTAGGAGTAACATCATCGATCCAAGAAGCAGCTGGCAGATCTCCTCCCCATAGATCATTGTTCCATCCACCACCCAAAATCCAGGAATCTTGCTTTGTGCCTAAAATTAAGTGTACAAAATGAGTAAACATCAGATATAATATGATTCAGAACTTAGAGGAGTCCATTTTGAAAATTGTTCAATGTAATATTTCCCATTTGACGAACATATTTATGCAGATTTAATTGCAAGCCTCTAAGCATTCTATTCCAGCATATTATTTCTCAGATAAAGAATGGCAATCTTTTATAAAAGCCCAAAAGGCAGGTTCATTGTAAAGAAACAATAGGTAAAACTGGCCAACTTCAATAAAACTACCACCAGATGAAAATGAAAAAGTGAAAGATCACTTCAATTTCAATATATATTGTAGAGATCATGATATCAATTTCATCTTTCACTTTTCCCTTTTCTTGACGTGTGTTATAAAAAAAATTACCACTTAAAAGTTAAAATTTCAAGCGTTTTCTTGTGTTATATAAAAGAAAAAAATTAAACTAAATAGAATAAAATAGAGAAAGTCAATTAAAGAGAACGAAGAGAAAAATAGAGCAAGTCAATGACATTGTGACTTACATATCGGATTTTCACAAAATAAGAGAATGGAATGGGAACAATACTACAGTATTATATATGAGCAATGAACAATAGTGTAGTATTATTAGTAGAGAAAAAATGGAGAAGACAGAAGTATAGAAAAAAAAAAAAAGATGGAAAATTCACTTGAAAATTCTTGAAGCACTTGAAAAGTCACTTCAAACAATCCTCCAAAATCTGATAGGTTTGGATGGGATTGTTTTTTGAATTTGGTATTTATAGATAGCACTAGAAAGTCCTTCAAAATCCCTTTAACATAACAATCCTTTAAAATCCTTATATTTTTTAATACTAATAAATTGTTTTTAAGTTGTAAAAAATCTCAAATGAATACCAATAGATTTTAATAGACTTTTTAAAAAATCTTGAAAATCCAGATTGAATACCACTAGATTATTTTTAAGTGACATAAAATCCTGATTGAATACCAAAGATTTTTTTACTCAAAAAAAAGTCTTTTAAAATCCTATGAAATCCTAAACCAATACACCTCCCTAAGATATCTGATGGAGTAAAACTAAAAATTAATGGAATCAAAGAGATGCTTCATGACGTATGAAAGCATTACACTGTGTATCATCAACTTTGTTTTAGTTGCATCAATAGAATATTTAGATGATAATTTTAACTTTGGAACCTCAATCAAGTTTGAAAACTGGAATACAGTTTGCATCTGAGTAGGCACTCAAAAAGAATACAAATTGGCACGTATGTTCATCTGTTCATCTTCAAGAAAACCACTAGTTTTGTGTAAATTATCTCTCCATCAAAACTAGGAAGAAAAAACATGCAAAAGCTCAGGGCTTACTTTGTGCTGCATCTTTAATCCTTCTGATAAATTCATCCTTTTTATTCACACCTCTCAGCTTCACCTGCATCATCTGTAACTATCGGTAGGGTTTTAAAACACAGGGAACACATTGTAGGTTCACAAACATTAAGGATTTCTCAGATGGTAAAATCAAAATTAGGTTCATATGTTCAAATGACTCGAGCATCCTAGCCCGTGCACAACAAATGAAGAAATCCATCCTAAATAATATGACTTTCTGGTGTATACCTTCTGATGAGCATAAGTGCTTTCAGGAATCAAATATTAGGAGATTGTTTAATAACCATGCATCACCATCTTTTATATTATCAATCAATCAAAAATCATCATTGTAGATACGACTTTTAAGGTAATTATTTCAAACTTAAAATACACGAAGATTTGTGATTGGACAATAGTGTAATGTAAAAGTCTTTGACATTGTTACTGCATACACTATTTACTTTCACCAAAATCTTCTCATTATCAAACGGTACCATATGATCATTTCAGAAAAACTAGGTAAATAAACAGACTGAAGCACATAATAAGAAGTTGGACGAAAGAAACATTCAGAAAAACGGGACATGCACTTAACCTGCAATCCACCATCAATGAAATGCACATGGGAATCAATGAACCCAGGAACCACAACCTTCCCACCAAGATCCAAAACTTGAGTTCCAATACCTTCCAACTCCTACATAAAAGTTGAAAAGCACATCTGGGTCAGACGCAGTTTGCAATTGCAGCCCACATATATGAGCAACCACAACAACAGGATCCAATCAAAATTGCTCTTATTTCTGTTTTTTTCAACAAATGGGGAAGTGAATTTAGCATCACAACAAGTATAACCTTGACAAATGAATTGTTGCCAACACGAAGAACCCTCCCATTGGCCACTGCCATAGAATCAGCAAATGGGAGAGAGTCATCACTGGTATATATCATCCCATTCCTCAAAACCAAATCAGCCACCGGGTGAGACAAGAGTGACTTCCAAGCCCAAAAATCTCAAATGAAAAAATCAAAACAGAAAGTCACATAATTGAATTCCAATATTTACAGAACCGTGTAGTTCTACACCACCACAACAATACTATAAAAAATAGTTTTTGTTTATCAACAGGAAATAGGAAATATAATAAGAGGTTGTATGGTGAGCAAACTACTCTAACTCTCCACCACATTAAACCAAACCTAGTGGTTCGTTAAAAAAATAGAGTTTAATTTCTATTAATCAGAAATTATGCAGATATCACATCACATAGAGTACAATATGTAATTGGATGGTATAAAGTGCATAGACTATATACTGTAAAAAATATATACTGAATTTTAAAAGTTACAAGTTATGACACAGTTTTCATGCTACATACAAAACTAACAAAAATAAACGTAGTTGTAAAGACAGAGAGTTAGTTACAAGTTGGTTGTGGAAAAGGCAGATACACAAAAGTGAGGCACAAAAGGATTGGAGCAAAGAGAAAAAAGTGAAGAAGAATGTCCATTTGGAGAAAAGCAAAACCAAAAGACAAAACCACACTTTCTTTTTCTTTTTCTTTCTCCACACACACCCTTCTCTTCTCTGCCTCCACCTATTCTGCTAAGAACTACCGCTCAAAACCAGCGCTGCAGTTCGTCTATGATTATCTTAGCTATAAATTTTAAAATAAAAACATAAAAGTTAATGAATTTGTCTGCGCAACACTTGGGTTTTTCAGCCAAGATAAATTAAAAAAAATATCTAAAATAATTTTTTTTAAAAATTATTTACTAAAATAAATAATTTCTGCCACTTAGAATATTTTGAAGTAAAAACACATAAGGGTGTGCATTTTCCATTTTAGGCAAATTTGAAGAACACCCCCTTGTTTATTTTTTGTTCAAAATTTGTGTGAACTGCATTTTTTGTTCCCGGATTTTTTAAAATTGGAAAAATAATTAAATTAAATAATATTTATTTTTATTATTTTATTATATATTTATTTTTGACAAAATATGTATATTGTAATATTTATTATTTTATGAAATTATGTGTGAAAAAAAATATAATGTTGATTTGATAATATTACACAAACAAAAAATTGATATAACATTTTAATGATTTACACTTAGTTGTTCAGCTATGTGTGAACAATTTGATCTATTGTGGCCTTCAATATGATAATGTCCACATCGTTGTCTATATTGTGACTTTGTCCAATCTATTTCATTGCATATACAAGTTAATTTTGGTCGTCCTTTTGCATGCAACTTGGAGCGATGAGAAATAATTTAAGGGTCTTGACTTGGTTGTATGTTGGCATCATTACCAATTTGATATCATTGTCCTGAATAGGCTTGAGCTATGTATTGGTTTAAATAAATCAGATCAACATAATTGTACGAATTGACACATACATATGCACAAACAGCGATGACATGTGAACAAAGATATTTGTATGCTTGGAAGGCACCACATTCACAAGTTCAATCATTAAGCATTACTATCTAAGTTTGTTCACCCGTTGAGTTAGTGGATTGAATGCTTCTTCAACCTCAAATCTTGTGGCTTCATATTCAAATCTACAAACAATATGAGAGGTTGCATCTTTTTGATTTTTTTTGCATTGTTTCCATTAACTTATAACAGTATTGTTCTCCTTTTTTCACACGATGTCACCGTTTCACCACGGCTTTGATAAAAGTACATACTAGTATAGAATACGTGCACTTAACTAGAGCAGTGGTAGGCAAATTTTGAGTCTCTTTCAATATCTTATTTACAGCCTCTGACAAGTTTATTGTCATTGTTGAGATTATTGAGTTTATTGAAGATTGTTGAGTTAATTATTGAGTCAATTACTGAAGCCCCTCTTGAAGATCTTTATGAAAATTGAAGAAGTTTTAGTTTTGATGATGATAACATTAGATTTGTATAGATTTATTTAGTTTGCTTCATTCATTTTTGTATTTCATGGCCTATGTTGAAAAGGATAATGTATTGCTTGTATTAGACTTAAGCTTGGATGTGTTTGCTTATTGTGATGAATTCATTTCAAAATTACATCTTGTTTTAGAAAGCATAAAACTCATATTTCAACTTAATGTCTCTCATTTCATGTGAAAACATAATATAAGAAATTACATTTGTTTTGACATAAAATGGAACTTGATTTATTCAAAAGAATTCATGATTAAGGCAGGTAATAAATTACCATTTGAGGTAATAGATTACTAAAACTTAGTTTTGAAGTGGAATTCAACATCCTCTTTGTGATAATTGATTACCTATTCATGTAGTTAATTACCATGGTGACTTTTGAGTGAAAATAAGTGAAACAAGTTGAAAAAGTATCGAGATAATCGATTACCAACATTAGCAATCGATTACCTTTGCTAAAAACTGAGTTTTATGGTTTCTAGGACTCGAGATAATTGATTACCAGGATCAGTAATCGATTACCTATGTTCTTGTTTCTCAGATTTTAGTTTTTATTAAAAAACTAAGAATAGATTACTTGATATTGGTAATAAATTACTACTGTTACGATTTTTTAATGTTGAAATCTTATTTGATCTATAAATATAACTCTTTTTGAAAACTAAAAGAAGGGTGAGAAAAGATACATGGAAAAAGTGATATAGAAAAAAAAAATTCAGGAATCTAAAAATCATTTTTTTGAGAGAAGATCAAATATTTTCAGAATAATTCAAGAGCCAAAACTCAAGAAAGATGTTATCTTGAAAGAAGTTCAAGAAAACAATTCATTGTGGAAGATCAATCTACACATCAGGTATATCAATTATGATCTTTAACCTTTTGGTTTCATAGTTAGGTATGTTATGGTATGTGACTCTTTGAGATAATGAAAGAGTGAAAGAAAAATTTCGAGATAGGTTTTCTCAAGTGGATTCTTGAGGTGTAAGAATTCTGATAATTGTATAATCTTGTGGGATCAAGATTAGGTGATTGTGTTTTTTTATTATAATATTTTTTGTACATGGTGCTTGTAAAGAATATTATAGTAGAAAGACTGGATTTAGCGGAGAGCTAAGTCTAAAACTGGATGTAGGCCTTTGTATGATTAAACTAGTATAGATCACTTTGCAATTTCTCTATTTACCTTCATATCTTGTTATAATTCATATTGAATTGATAAAAAGAATTTTAAGATAGTAAAAGAAACATTTTCTTGAATATTATATGTTGTTGATTTGTGAAATTTGATATGATACACACAATCTGGTAATAAAGTGAAAGAAAGTAATTACTAAAATCAATTTGGATTATAACTTCTATTCTGTTGTATAATAATTCTAATATACTTTGTATCTTGTTTGGTTTGTAATTTGAATGTGTTTAGTAATAAGTCGTATGAGAAAGAAAGAAATTAGCAAGAAAGCAAGAAAGACCATTAGAAACCGTCTAAACGAAGAATCTATTCAACCCCCTATTAGATTCGTGTTCTACCCAGGACTAACAATTGGTAGCAGAGCTGAAATTTGATAATTACACAAATTAGATCCTTAGAACCCTTAGAATGGCTGGTAATCAATTACCCTTTGTTGGAGGTGCCTCCATAAATAGACCCCTTTATTTTGTGGTGATAATTATCCATTTTAGAAAGTGATAATGAAAATATTTATGGAACCTATTCATAGAAGTATTTGGCAGATAGTAATTACTGAGTACAAAATTCCTACAATAAGTGTAGAAGAGAAAATTGTTGAGAAACCTATTAGTCCCTGTTTACGAGAATCTAGAAGGGGGGTTGAATAGATTCTTTCCTAAGATGGCTCTATTTTCGAATTTTCTTGATTTTAACCTACCAAGTCATTCAATACTCAACCTTTAATCAATTTGATTTAACAAATTACAGTAGATTGTAATCAAGGTTGATTTTATATTACCAACTTTTTAGTCAATTTCAATTACAAGAATAATAGTCAGAGTATGAGTGGTAATTGAAATAACATATCTCATAAATTTTTGAATTCTTTAATCAAATTCATAGCAAGATTATTAAAGAGATATAGGGTAAGAAGATAAAGAACACAAAAATTTATATTGGTTCAGTCATCCACTTGACCTACATCCAGTTTTCTTTGATTTAGCACCTCACTAAATCAAAGATCATTCACTATAATATTTTTTATAAATACTGTGCACACACAATATTACAAGAATGCTAACACACATCAATCTTGACACTGTAAGACTGAAAAAACATACAAATTTTTGTACCCCACAAAAATTACTTGAGAAATCCTACCCAGGATTTCAAGATCTCTTATTAAGACACCCTATCTCAAGAGATACACCAAACAAAATGAAAATACAGATTAAAAGATCATAAAGATATCATCTAATTTGTGTAGACATTGATCTTTCACAATTGAATTCACTTCTTGAATTTCTTCTTTCAAGAACACATGTTCAATCTTTGCACTTTTTGTATTTCAAAAAATATTTATTTGATCAGCCTTTGATTCTTGTTTTCTGAAAGTATTCTTTTTCTCTAATGTTATTTTTCAAAAAGGTTCTCTTTTAGTTTCATAAAAGATGGATATTTAAAGAGCAAAATGTAATTCATTTATAAAGTGTGGAAGAACATATGCATAAAGTTTTGATGATGCCAAAGCATCAAAGAAAATAAAAGGTCAAGTTAAAGCAAGTTGATCAAGAAGAAAAATCTCAAGAAATAACTAGATAAGTCTTGACTACTTAACTTGATATGTAAAATGAACTTTTAGAAATTGCAAATTTCACTTGGCCATTATAATAAGGATTTCAAGAAAATCTAAATTTAGTCTTTTTGAATATAAGAATAAGTTTCTGAGAAAGAAAGTAAAAAGAAATGTGTTCAAAAAGATTATACAAAAATAATTTTGAATGAAAAGTAAAATGCTACTAAAATCATAAAGCTTTCGAAAGCAAATTTGTTATATCTGTCTGGTAATCGATTACCAGAAGAAGAAAACTTCTAAGTTCAAAATTCAAATGTTGAAACGTGTTCTGGTAATCGATTACCAGTCCTTGTAATTGATTACCAGAAGAGAAAACTTCAAAATTTTAAATTTAAAAGATACAATGTTTCAAATTTTTTGAACTTAAAACCGTTGTAATCGATTACCAAGTCTTATAATCGATTACCAGAGCATCTTTTTTGAAAAATTATAAAGAGTTACAACTCTTCATGAAAAGACACAACCTAAGAAATAATTGTCTATAAATACCTATAATTTTTCAGAAGAAGGTTACGAACTCTATTACTGAAAATCATTTACAAAAACTACTTGGCCAAAGTCATTTGCAAAAATCTCTAAAGAGTTCATCAAGATCTTAGAAAGTGTAATATCTACTCTTCAAAGAGAGTCATTCTGTATTACCCTCTTGATCAGTTGATCAGTAAAGGAGAAAGGGTTTTTCTCCTTGTTGGTTTTGAATCTCAACACAAGGAAAGGGAGTTCCAAGGTGTTGGAGGATTCAAGTCTTGTAAGAGTTACAAGAATAGTGGAAATCTCAAGTTGGAGACTTGAGGACTGGATGTAGGTAAGATTGGTCGAACCAGTATAATCCCTACACTTCTAATTACTTGTTACTTACTTGTGTTTTGAATAGTTTTGCATCATTAATTACATACAATTTGTCAAATTTTGAATATATGAGAAAAAATTTCTAAAAAGAAATAAAGGAAGAAA